CTGTCAAGCCCCGCCAGGCGGGAGGTGCAGCCTCAGGTCCCTGCTGATCACTTGTTATGGGAACTCCACCTCTGCTGTGGGCACAGCCACCTTGTGATTGCATGATGGAGTGGGGGTCAATTTGCATATTACCTCTTTATTATACAGGATTACTTAATCCTTTCTTTTTGTAATTAAATTTATTGGGGTGTCATTGGTCAACTTGATCATATAGGTTTCAGGTGTGGGTTTCTATGTTACAAAATCTGTATATTGCACTGTGCCCACCCAAATGTTTGCTTTCTTATGTTTTTTGTTTTTTACATAGTTCATGTATGTGATTGACATGAGAACCTTATTTCTTATAATATTATTTCAATTTCTCCCCCCAAAATACTTTAACTTCACATCAATGTATAGTATAGACCACTTTTATTAATTAAAAGGCAACTTCATATAACATGAATAAAATTATTTCCCATTAGATTCTTGCTTGATGGTATATTAAAATGTGTTCTTATTTTTAATACCGTAAACATAGAAACCAGAAGATTATATTGATCAGCATGTAAACAAACTATGTCATCAACTTTCAACAGTCATTTGGTATGAGTAATCTACCAAAACACAAATCCTACGTATAGTAATGAGATTGCTGGGCTTGAATTGTAGCACACTTCTTACTAGTTGTGTGACCTTTGGCATGTTGCTGAACTTTTTCTTGCCCTAGGTTCATCATCTATAATATGGAGTTAGTAAGAATAACCTACCTATAAGATTATTGTTGAGTAATAAATAAGTTAACATATGTAAAGTGCATACTACATTGTGAGTACTCAATAAGTTTAGCTGGTATTATTATTCCCACCATAATTATTACAATGTGAACGGTTCTCTCCTTCTGTCATATCTTCAGTAAAATGAAGAATAGGTTCTGTAAATGTGGAGAAGGGCAGTAACAGAAGCTTGGTTGTCATAGTGCTAGGATTGACTCAAATTCATCCAGACCTGCCCAAATGGCATTTGATTCCTTCTCTGAGCATCAAATCAAGTTAGTGTTATACAAAAATCTGGAGAGTTTTAGAGCAAAGGAAACATAACCTGGTAGGCATGTATCTAGAATTGAATTACTTTAATTATTTCCTCTTTTATTTTTCTTCTAGAAATAGCATGAGATTTAGTATCAGAGAACTTGCTCCAATCCTGCCTTTGTCTTCTTATGAACCATGAGACCTAGAGTTAGCTGGTAAATTCTCTGTGGACCGCTCTTTCTTCCTGTCTAACATGGAGCCTCTTATAACACTTTTTATTGCTGGCCAACTGCTGCTTGCTTTTCAAGCCTCTGCCACTATCACCCTGACTCTGTGAACCTTTGTCCATTTCTGAGCTGGGGTGGTGTTGGTCCTCTGTCCTCGCTCTTAGCAATTTTCCATACCATTCATTTTCTTTCTTGTTTCCCCCAGTAGCTTGAGCATCACTGGCAGGTGGATTTCTGTCTTTTTCACATCTGCAGCATGCAAACTAGGGCCTAGTTGATGCTCAATTAAATCCTTAGCCATGAGAAATTAGTCACAATAGCCATTTCAATTGGTTGGACTCACTCCATTGCTAATGTTATTCAAATGATGCAAAGGATGATGCTCTAATTTGAAGAGCCGCATTATATAATTCTGGACACTTGCCTGCTACAAATCTCCATGTGAGTATTTTCCTCCAAAGAGTAAGCAGGCCGGACAGGATTGTCTAGATCTGGGTACCATACCAATTGTTTTTTCTCTTCTTTGTGTATTTTATGAATTGGAAAATGACAGGAATATCATGCATCAGTATTGGGGAGGCCATGAGGCTGAATACATACACCAGTTTTCAAAGTTTATGGACTTTAGGCATGTGTCAAAGAAATGTGCTCATCTCTCATGCTCTTTCTCTCTAGCCTAGCTGCATATTTGCCCTTTAGAAATGTAATTATGTGGAGACTAATTAGTGGGCTATTGCAGTTATTAGGTGATAGGAAAGATAAAGGGGCTCTGACTGCAGTAAAGATGAACCTTGAGGGGCAGAATAAAGAATCTTAAAAAATGAGAGTCTGTAGGTTCTGAAGACTTTATAAAACATGGAATTTTGAGGGTAAGTAAAAAGTCAGGTTTCTGATTTTAGCAACCTGATGGTCCTGATTATTGAGGAGATTTAATTTCTTTATTTTCATTGGGAGATACTGTTTTTAAGATTTGGATGTATTGATTTTGAAATTGCATTGAGCACCTTGGTTAATGTGGCTCAGTAAACTGTTGAAAACAGAGCTGGATGTCAGGAGAGAGAACTCGGCATATGAGCTGCATGTGTGCGTGATGTCATGTAGAGACAATAGGTAATCATGAAAAGAGAAAAAGACTTAAGTCCTGTGAAACACCAACTTTCCTTAAAGGAATAAATCAATAAGAGGAAGTTTCTTCATTTTCTGTAGGGTGGTCCCAGGGATAAAAGAGAACTAGAGGAGGCTGGTTTCCCAGAAGCCAAGGAAATACAGTTTTAGGAAGGAAGATGGGTTCAATAGTCATAGGTGCTACAGTTGAATGGGTGGTTCACATCAACATGTTATTTTTAAAATGTGGTCATTAGTAGAAATTTCATTATGACATTCTGTGGAATTCTGGGAAAGAGCCAAAACTGGATTTAGGGGTAAATGAAATTTGAGCCATTGGACATGTACACCATAGACATTCTTAAAGGAAATCTACCTTTAAATGGAAGAACAATAATAAGCAGTAGTTGGAGGTAGATGAAGGAATAAAGGTTTTCAAGTGGTTTTTCCCTTCCTTTATGCTAACAGGCACGTGAACATTTTTGTGGTCTTAAAGGAAAGAAAACTGTAATGCAGAAAGAGATGGAAGATACTGGATAAAGAGGGTCTCATGAAAGATTTGAATTCCTAGAAAAGGTAGAAAGAAGAGATGGTATTTTCCTCTGGTGTCATTAGCCTGTATCAAAGGAAAAGCATCTCTTTATCTGAATCTCAAAGGAAAAATGACAAAGACAATTAACTTTGTAGATGAGTTTCTAAAATGAGATAATGTATATGAGCTAGTTAACTGGAAAGCATTTTGTCAATAAAATTATTGTTATAAAGGGTATTATTCCTTTTTTGAGAAGTATGTTTGTGTTTTGTCTTTATCAAGTTTACTCATTTTTAAAGGCAATAGAACATTTTCACAAACTCTTGAGTACTGCAGAAAACTATTCTTTGTTCCCAGCAACTGAAAAATACACTTAACAGCAAAGCATATCAATTTCATGATCAAAATAATTGTTAAAATTTTTTAATGAAAATGTACATTTATGTATAGATGTAAGTGTTGTTCATGTGTTTGGAAATGGTTTGCTCTATTCAAACGATTTTTTAATTTTACTTATTATTTTAAAATATGTTTTTATTGATTTTAGAGAGAGAGGAAGGGAGAGGGAGAAAGATAGAAACATCAATGATGAGGATCATTGATCGGCAGCCTCCTGCATGCCCCCGTCTGGGGGTCGAGTTCATAACCTGGGCATGTCCCTGACCTGGAATAGAACTGTGATCTCTTGGTTCCTGGGTCGACACTCAACCACTAAGCCATGCAGGCTGGGTGACTTTTTAAATTTTTTATTTATTAACACTATTACAGATGCCCTTTTTAACAAACAGTATTAGAAATAATCATGAAATTATGCTAATGACAGGAGTGAGCAACCTTTAATTTCAAAATGATTTGCTTTAGATATTTTTTAATGATGCCCATTAAATAATAAACTGAGGATTTTAAAATACTCCCTAAAATGATAAGCTTTTATCAGTAGCCTTCTCATTTCTCAAAGCTCCCTTTTACCAGCCTTTCAAAAGCCTCAGCAGCTGGCAAGTAGAATCTGCAATTTGAGGTTGATAACAGCAGTACTGGGGCCTCAGAGAGGTGCCAAATGTCTGTAAGATACTCGCTGATTACAAGAGGAGAGGGAAAGGCCAAAAAGGCCTCTGTGAGAGCTTTTCAACTAAGTCCAGGGCCCTGACACTGTATGTTCAGAGATATGATTATAATTGATTCTCAAATAGGTCAGGAGGGCGGGGTCTGGAATGGCTGGGGTGACCCCTGTGGCCACTGTCCAAGGGCCTCCTAGAGGCATGGGGTGTGGCGTCTGAGCGTCTGTAGTGAACTGAAATGTGCCCAATATTCTGAAATAAGGAAATAACAATGTGGATAGTCTTCAATCTTTCTCTTTGTGTCTTTATGGCTTCTGATTAAATTCTGACTCTTTATCCTGCGGGCCTAGATTACACTTTGTCTTTCGGGCAGTCATGGACCAGTATTTCCCAAACAATATGACTAGCGAGAGAGGCGTTTCATGTTTAAATAAATACACATATAACCACATATGCATATATATGTATTTAACTTAAACAGGTTTCTTTTCTGAAGTGAAGAAAAAATGTGCATGCTCCAACAAGAAATTTAGGTGGTTTTTCTGTCCAGTGGGAGAGAAAAGACTGTGGAAAGAGGAAAGTTCAGTGAGGATAAAGGGCTTTTTGAAAATACTTCTTTTTAAAAAAAATATTTTTTAATTGATTTTAGAGAGGAAGGGAGAGGGATAGAGAGATAGAAACATCAATGATGAGAGAGAATCATTGTTCGGCTGCCTCCTGCACGCCCCCTACTGGGGACTGAGCCTGCAATCCAGACATATGCCCTTGGCTGGAATCAAACCTGGGACGCTTCAGTCCGCAGGCCGACACTTTATCCACCGAGCCAAACCGGCTAGGGCTGAAAATACTTCTTAATACTTTCTGATGCAACATAAATGCAACTGATACCTCTCCAATATTTTCTCTCCTGAGGAATAATTTCCTTCTATTTAGAATTTATTTTTATAGTACCAGGTCAGCGTTTTTATGGCCCCTTAACCATTTTTATTTTTAAAACATAAAATAAAAATTTGTGGTTTTATGTATAGTAACACGGTCCTATCTCCAAATTTCTCTTTTCCTCACGCAGAGGGTTACTCCTGCAGGAGAACAGCAGGTTTGCAGAAGCGCTACATTATTATAAACTGGCGATCGGGAGCAGGCCTACACTGGCTTGTAAGTAACAGTCGAAGTTTTTCTTTTTCTTTTTTTTTAAGTTTTTCTTTTTAAATATCTTTTTCTTTTCCTCTTCATGCATGGAAATTATCTTGATGACTTACAACCTCATAGAGAAAAAATCATGGTGCTCCTATTTTTGAAAACTTGTCAGTCAAATTATAAGCCTCTAACAATTATATCTCTCATTTTAATCATATTTTGATATCAGTTTGTCATTTCTTAATATGTTCAGATAAATATAACTTTTATTCATCTAGATTTTAAGTTCAGAATGTTTTGAACTTTTTGAGAACAGAGACTATCCCAGATATTTTTCAGTGATACCGACACTTCTTACTACATTAATTGTTCCCATATGTATTTGTTCCCTAAGTATTTATGTCTTGGTTTCTTCTAAAAATCAGAAATAATCCATAGAAAGTAAATTGAAGTAAAGGTAACTTATTGTATCCACAGTGCACATCATCTTCTTACATTTATATTTCCACCTTTTTCTCTCAGCTGCATATTTAAACACCGGTATTATTCTGATGAACCAAGGAAAGACAGAAGAAGCCCGACGTACATTCCTAAAGTGTTCTGAGATCCCTGATGAAAACCTAAAGGACCCTCATGCGCATAAGAGCTCGGTGACCAGCTGTCTGTACAACCTGGGAAAACTCTACCACGAGCAGGGACACTATGAGGTCAGGCCCAGACCTCTCTCTTTTTTCCTTCCCCCTTGTCTGATCCCGTCTCAGTGCTTTCTACCTTATCATCTCATCACAGGGCGCTGTGAGCATTTAAGAAGCTAATGTGTGTTTTATTAAAAGTGTTTCAAGGTGAAATTCATTTCTGGGGGGGAAACCCTCTGCTAAAGAACACTTACCACCCTAGTCCATTTGGCTCAGTGGATAGTGTCAGCCCATGGACTGAAGGGTCCTGGGTTTGATTCCGATCAAGGGCACATGCCTCCATTGCAGGCTCAATCCCCAGTCCAGTCCTGGTAGGGGTGCATGCTGGAGGCAACCAATCAATGTGTCTCTCTCACATCAATGTTTCTCTGTTTCTCCCCCTTCCTTCCACTCTCTCTAAGAATCAATGGAAAAAATAACCTTACGTGAGGATTAACAAAACAAACAGAAAAGAATACTTACCAGATTTCTTTTTGTGTTGTTAATCCTGGCCCAAGGATATTTTTTCCATTGATTTTATTTTTAAAAGATAGCAAAAGGGAGGGAGAGGGGAGAGAGAGAGAGAGAGAGAGAGAGAGAGAGAGAGGTGTGAGAGAGACACATTGATTGATTGGTTACTTCCTTCACATGCCCTTATTGGGGCTGGGATGGAACCTGCAACCCAGGTATATGCCCTTGACTGGGAATCGAACCCGAGATGCTTCACTTGCCAACACTATAACCACTGAGTAACACTGGCCATGGCAACAGATTTCTTTACTATTAATTTCTCAGAGCAACTCTTCAAGAAGGGGAAATTACAACCATTGCTCCACAAGCTTATTTGCTTATCATCTCTGATTTTATGATCCAAGACATATTGTGCCTGTTTCCTTATTTCCAATGTTTGATGTTACAAAATACATTGTACTCTGAGTATTAAGTATTAATATGATATAAATCCTTCCCATTTCTTTTAATTGTTTTTGAAACAATAATTAAATTAAAATTAGTTTGTGTTTTTTTGAGAGAGAAGAAAAGTGATGGAGATGAGACCTTGCCCAGAGAGCTGGGAGGTTGACTGTCTTGTCCTCCCTTTCTCTCACAGGAAGCATGTCTGCATGGTTTCTTCTCTCACATTCAGTATTGCTCCTCCCCTCTTTCAGACCACACCCCTACATACTCCTTCCTGTTGTACCAATAATGTAATGTAGAGATACAACTTTTTTTTAAAATATATTTTATTGATTTTTTACAGAGAGGAAGGGAGAGAGATAGAGAGTTAGAAACGTCGATGAGAGAGAAACATCGATCAGCTGCCTCCTGCACCTCTCCTACTGGGGATGTGCCCGCAACCCAGGTACATGCCCTTGACCGGAATCGAACCTGGGACCTTTCAGTCCACAGGCCGACGCTCTATCCACTGAGCCAAACCGGTCTCGGCGAGATACAACTTTTAAAATTATTGCATTTCATAACCTCAGTGGGTCTTAGTATCTAGGTTTTTTATTTTATATTTTATTTAGATCCTACTTAGTGGCCTGATTTTAATTACAGATTATAGATGACTACGGGTGATATCCAAATATGAAATTTTCTAGTGTTTTAATTAAATAATCTTTGTTAACTGAAATTTTATATTAAAATAAAAGAGCTTGGTAGTAATATTCAGCTACTTGTTACACTAAATTTTTATCTGACCTTTTTCACTCACTGGGTTGAATATTTTTATTCATGAAATTGTAGTAGTATGACATCAAAGTACAGCTGAATTATTTCCCTCCAATGAGCCATTTAGAAATAGCAATGGAACTTTGTAATTTTGAAAGGACGTTGTTATTTTATTTTTGGTGAATATTCTTGTATTTCATCTTTTTTCATTTATTTATTTTATTTTTTTTGGTTTGTTTCTTAAATTAGGAAGCCCTTAGTGTATATAAAGAAGCAATTCAGAAAATGCCAAGGCAGTTTGCTCCACAGAGCTTGTACAACATGATGGGTAAGTCAAACCTTACTATTTCAATTGCTATTTCAGGAACCTGTGGGGAAATTAAAACCCCTGCTTCTGTTAAATGGAATTCTAATAAGTTATAGCATTGATCCTCACCCAGAGAAATCTTTATTCACAACTGGGTGTCACATTCAAATTTTCACATAGCATACTTTTTCTAACGAGAACAAATACGTGAATTATCATATTGATTCTCAACAAATTGTCCAGATCGCAGAGTTGTTGCAAGGGGCTCACAAGCCCTTTTGGGTATTAAGCATTAGCTAGACTCTGGAGATTGAAGAAGATGAATAAAATCCAAAGATTTTAGCGAAGTTATCAAATTCATGATACTTTTAATCATGTTACTTGCTTAATCAGAAGATCCTCAAAAGTAAACATGCTATGATGTAGAGATGAATGCATGTTGGTGCTTGTCACAGATGAGATGAACTGAGTCAATTTGGATGGTTTTCATTGGTCAGGCCTTGGATCTTCAAGGCCTTTTTTTCTTACGTTAGTGTTTTAGAGTGAAAACAATACTGTGAAAACTGCAAATGTGCTACTACTATTACTCTTTTTTCTATGTTGGGTGATTACCTTAATTTTCTTATTAGAAAGCATGCAGGCTAGGGCATTGATTTTTCTAAGTGCAAGAGCTCAAGAATTAGAATTTCTAATAAAATATCTATCACTTACAATTGATTTGTGACTGTAAGTTGTCGCCACAGCTGTTTGATGGTGGACGGAAACTGCCCATTCAGCCTGTGACTCTTGGAAAGAGTCCCTGAAGTTTAGGGCGCTCTGCTGACTGGTTTGCTGTTTCCAGATGAGGGAGGGGAGGGAAGGGCTTGCTTTTGTCCTCAAATCAAATATATATATTAAATCCAGAGCACAAATTGCAAACTCAGATTTTTCTTTTTACTAAACTGGTTAAGTTGCTTAGTATTCCTAGGCTTTCCTCATGCATATAAAAGTAATGAGACAACATGGTCTCTAGGATTATTTGTGCTTTTGTATTCTATTATTTGAGAGATTTGATACTAGTTTGTATGGCTTGAGCACACACACATTAAAAAAATGTCTTCAATCCTCCCAAACTATAGAATATATGCCTGGCCTGGCCAGTGTGGTTCAGTAGTTGAGCATCGACCTATGGACCAGGAGGTCTTGGTTAGATTCCTGGTTTAGGGCACATGACCTGGTTGCAGGCTCAATCCCCAGTAGGGGGCGTGCAGGAGGAAGCTGACCAGTGATTCTCTGTCATCATTGATGTTTCTGTCTCTCTTGCCCTCTCTTTTCCTCTCTAAAATATA